ATGATCCCGACATCGGATCGGGACAGATGCATGTGTCTAGCTAGTAATTCATTACTCTGTTCTTCTCATTTTTATTTCCAAATAGATACTCTATACAAAAGGTACATTAAAAAAACATTATTGATGTTGAAAATTCTGCATTCAACAGCTAAGGATCTGTGCTAATTTAATTTGGCTTTCTTCTCCATAAGTTAAATCGTTAGTTACATGCTTATAGGAAGAAGACAAGTATTAAAACCAGCAGATTTTATATACAGGCTTGTTTTTCCCCAGGGTCTGGTGGCCAAAAGGGCCTTTCCTGAACACAGAAGAACAACCTCTTTGCCTCTGCTTGCTGTTCTCTGAAAAACCTACAAGGATCAACTAATTACAAATGACAACTAATATAAACAAGTGTAACAGGCATCACGGTCTCAGATTTAGCACAGATGCTGCTAAGGGAGTTATTTTCTCTGTGTCCCTGCTCCACAAAAGAAAGTAACTACTAAACAGGTAATGATGAGAAAAACCTCACAGCAAAGTGTATTAAGAGACAGAAACAAGTGTCCTGTACATCAACTGCTCCTTCCACTCCAAAAGCTTGAGCCCTGAATGGAGAATTACCACCTTGCCTGAGGTTCATGAAAAAATCTTGAGGTTTGACAAGATGACAAGGACAGAACATGAATGCAATAGAGGGTTCATTGTTACTTGTATTTTGAGACAAGGGCTGCTACCAGACATTTCTGCCACCAGATGTTCAGCCTCCTTACTGAAAGAACCCAGGTATTCAGAAAAACATATGCAAAAACAACCCATACTCACACAAGACAGCCACCCATATATTATCCCTGCATACTGAGGCACCAATGAAGACTGCTGCTGGTCCACCATGCAGGGCTGTCTTTTACAGAAGTTCCTGTAGTTGAATTATACAGGCAAAGAAATTGATGCCACACAACCTGGGGCACCATAATAAGCTCTACAGGGCAATAGCAACTTTATTAATTTATTAGAATGAAAATTCTAGGTCAGAGCTCTTGGTCTGATGAGGTACTGTCAAAGGCAGCACCCAGGAGACCATAGCTTCTCTCACTCAGCTCAGCTGTCCCCCACACTCTTCTTTTTCCTTCCCTTAGCACTGCTCTGCTAAAGCCATGCACTCCTTCCTACACCAAACACAGCTCCAGTACCCACTCTCACCTATTTTCTATCTCTATTCCCAGTCACATTGCTCCAGTTCTCCTCCTTCTCTATAAACTTGCAGCAAGTCCTCTTTTATTTTGCCTCCACTCAACCCAGGGAGATCACACAGGGATGCAAGCCTAACCTGTAGATGTCCACAGGACACTGGGCTACTCTCACGTCCCCTCGCAGGACCCAGAACAGCCCAGAGCAACTCAGAGGTGCAAAGGCAGAGAACCACCACCTTAGCTCCAAACCAGAGCAGATACCATGGAGACAAGGTCTTTGGAGAGTTTCTCTTGATAAATTCCGAACTCTGGTAGGGATATACAAATCAATGTTTTTCCTAAGGAAATGCAAATGGTTTTTCAATAGCTTATACTACTGCTAACTTTGAGCATGTTATCATATGGATAGCAAAAGGTCACTGATACAACAGATAAATTACATACTGCATTTCAGTTTCTAGACAGAGCTTTTCGGACTAAAGCTTCCACAAAATTTTTCACTTGAACTAAGCTATGTTTAGTTATTTTCCTTAGCACTAGACACAGAAACAACAGAACTGTTTTTGCTGAATTATTTTTGGTTTTTTTAAGTCAGCCTGTGGCAAACATTGCCATGGAGGTTTCGTTCAAAAGTCACAGCTTGCCAGCTGATTTCTACACTTGGAAAAAAAACCAAAAAACAACCCAACAACAGATTCATGCTGTATGGTCCAAAGTATATTGTTGCCTCTCTAGTTTTTATTGGCTGCACCATATTAGGATCATAGATCCTGGTTAGAACTAGGATTCCTGTCCACTAACTTCTGTTCAAATGAGAAAAAGAAAGGGCTCACTTGGGGAATTTGCAGCCTAACTTAAAATAAGATCCAAAAGGAGGAAATAATTCAAAGTTTCCAACAAGTTTTTCCAATGGAAAAATGTGTCTTTGGCATGTACAATTTAGTCAGAATCAAAGCATTTCATCAAAACAATGGAAAGACTGGTTTTTTTATAACATTTTCCTAAGGAAAAAAAGAGATGACGTTAAATATGTGTTTTATAGTTAATACTTAATCTTTCATTAAGATAATTTTTGGACTGAATTAAAACAAATTTTAACTATTAAACCTCTCAGATTTTTTTATATTCAAGTTTTTTTTCAAATTATGAAGACTCTGTTTTATCAAGGGCGTTTTAATGGTTCCAATTCAAAGTCTGGGGAAAGTTTCACACAAAAGAAAATTTGTGTTTTCACTGATATTCAGAAATGTCAAACCAGTAAAATTGCTGATACCTGACCTGTGGTACCACAGCAGAGGAAACATGCTGCCCCTGTGAAGACTGGGGATAACAGCTCGAAGTTTTAGCGGGTGATTGCTGGCTGTGTGAGTACTGCCAGTCATTCTGTTTCTAATTTCTTCACGAGCTTAATTATTTTCTTCTTATAGTACCCCCTTTACTGTAACAGGAGCAGAGTTAGGCTACCACTAAGGTTGCCTAATGCTATGAGAGACTCCTACTCATCCCAGGTAAAAATTTAAAATTCTTTCAGAGAGTGATACTTTGAGTATTAAGATAAAAGTAAATCAATAAAATCAGTCTGTGGGTTCAAAGGTACTTGATACACATCAATAAAGCCAATGCACAGGCAAATCACTCCATGCAAGCCAAGTTTCTAGCTCAGAAATCCCCAGCTCAGTATTCACAATGAAGTTCTGTCTGAGTTTAGCAGAAAGAAGTCACAGAAGACTGAAAGAGGTAGAAATCCCAACACTTTTTTGCCTCAGTCTACAAAGAAAATTGACATATCAAATTTCTTAGTAAAAAGGAATGAAATGTCTCATTTCAGGCTATTCTTCTAGACTTCTCCTGGAAAATTTAGTGCTGAAGTCTCCATAGTAGCTCTACTGTTTTTCTTAGCATAGAAGGTTCTACCAAAGTGTAAAGAAACACTGCCTGGGCAGGAATCAAGCACTAAATAAGTCACAAGGTATGGAGACACAAGTATCTTCACAGCTGGATTTTGTCCCCATGGAAATCAAAGGTCAAACTCCCATTGTCTATAACACTGCAAAATCAGGCCTCTCTGCTTATTTCAAGGTTGGATGCTTTCAGTATTGAGATTTAAATGAACAGTCAGTAGCCTGCTCTCTCTCATCAGGGTTTATTAGAAGTTTTAGTCTTTTTTATTTAAAAAAAAAATAAAATCTTAAACTCTCATGATAGCAGAGCAATCACTCACCCACTGTAGAACTATTAAATTTGCAGTGACCTGAGCTGACTGTAGAAAAAGCAATAAAAGGGGAATATTTTAATAGGCGTCACAATGAGCTTTATGGGATTTTTATAGATGTACTGTGGTGAGTGATCAGCCTTTGATTTAGCATTAAGCAAGTTAAAGGGTTAAAGTTATAGATAATCTGGTAGTATGTCAGACTGTAGTTAAACCAGCGAGAACTCAAGCTTAAAATAACCACCAGTGACACTGAACCCCCACACAGTGGGGCTCACCTCCTGGGACGCTATACCATGCACCGCCATTAGTTGTTCCATCCACAAAGCTGCTGTCATCGTCATTTTTGCGACACGGTGGTCTGTTTGGATCAGACATAGCAGGATTAAAAGAAGAGTAACTGCGAGCCAGGCTTTGAAAAATAGCATCATCGGGGCAGGAGCTGTATTCATGAGCACTGCCTAGGGAGGAAAAAAAGTCCAGGAGCAAAGATTATTAAAAGGGCAGTCATACTGACTGGGCTCACAACCTAAATTACCAGCACTGCACAGCAGGACTATGCCTAGAAATTTTCTTCACACAGGTAAGTGTCCTACAGCATCGCAAACTAATACAGCATTATCTTAATAATATTAACATTTCCCCCATACTTTATCAATTGCCTATACCAAGTCACCCCATTATTAGGATTGCAATTCATATCAGTCCTGATATTTATGAAAATACTATTTTCAAAGTGCATCAAAACCTCTAAGCTATTCTAGGCTTTAGATATTTTCTTAGAACAACACACAGTATATAGAAAAAGGTCTCTCCCTGAAGGGTTTTACAGTCTGATATTAAAAGGATTTGCAATCAAACTGTGAGAAAGTAGATTGAAGGAAGACAATCACAAACAATGCCATCATATCACGATCATTTCAGTCATGTGCATATCCCCTAGCAGCAGAAAAAAAAACCTTAATATTGCTGTATACTAAATGATAACATTGCTGCCACAATGTGACCCTTTTTACATGACACCAATACTGCGAAAGTGGAAACAATAATTGTTGTTTTTATTAGCACACTACCAGTTCCAGAAATCCATTTTTTAAAGGTATGAGTAGAGAAACCTTAGATCATACAGACAGCCAAGATACATCTCTCTTGCTTCAGTTAACAGGGTACAAAGAGCACCAGCTAATTTAAGTGCTAAGTTGCCTTGATTAAAATAACTGAGGGACCATGATTGCCTCAGGTATTACATCATTTTTGTGATGTAACTCTACTGAAACAAGCTATCTATCCTCAAAACTAGAAGACATGGTCATGCAGTGACCAGCTTTAAATGTGATTAATATGCAAAAATAAGTCATTACAATGCCATGACATGAGGTTTACAAAGTGCATCTTAGGTAGCAGTGAAATAAGCATAGAATATAACTTATATCTCCTACTATTTCATGGTAACTCATACTAACTACATACCACTCCGAGTCTCATCATAAGGATAGTTTGCAACGAGATCTCCTCCATGGAGATTGGCAGAGAGCACAAAGGGAATATCCATAATCCAGTGAATGACACCTTTTGTTTCAGGAGCAAGCTACAAAAAAGTAGCATTACCAACAGTTACAAATTGATAATTCAATGTAGAAACTTATTTAATTATATGTATTGAGCTTAATTATTATCAAATGTATTGTGCAAGTCATTTAAATAATGAGCAATTTTATTTTGGTATCAGAGAGAACTGGATCAGTTCTTTATATCAGAATTTGTCTAATTAGATTAATGTAAGTCTCAAGCTGGTGTAAATTAGTTCAGAATGATACCACAGATAAAGCAACCTCAATATTTTACTTCTTTCCATTATGGCTAAAAGAAGTGTACCAAATTTTAAACAAACTATTTCAAAATAAATGTTGACAGAATGCAGTCTATTCTCTTCACTGAAAGTAAAATTACTTCATTTAATAATTTGACTTTGAAGACAGAATATGGCTATTAAGGCCACAACCCAATAGGACTGCAGGCACAACACTATAATGTCTAGAACCTCCTGTGGGTGTAAACACAAGAAGATGAAAATCCCTCCAGATAGATAGACACTTGTATATTTAAGGCTTAAGCTTAACAAAAATGCATGTGTTATGTATGAGTCTAGCTTACAATGCATAGCCAGCGATGTAATTAAGCACAATATACAAGTGAATTTCTGGCACTGGTAAAAATGCAGAATATCTGCAAGAACAGCTTCAAACCAAGAGAGAAGGCTACACAATCTCTGTCCTTAAAAATAAAACATGCTTTGAATGAGGAATTGTCTAAGGATTAAGCAATATGGATCAAAAGAGGTTACTACAGCAACCCATTTTGAGAAAAACTTCAAGAAGCATCAGATCGATAAATTAACAAAATTAGCAAAATATTTAGAAGAACATGAATCATAAAGGCCATACACACAGCTCTTAGAGGTTGCTATGTGTCTACTTGTGTAAACTGGAAGAGATGGGCATGTAAGTGACCCAATACTTGGTCCCTACTTACCTTAGGATTCTGGTCCACGGCTTTTTTCATGTTTTTCAGCAGATGGTTGTTTGGGCCACCTTCCTTCTCATTAACATACACTATTCTATCAAGATCAGGGAAATTCCGGTTTAGATCTATCCCTTGGGCATTACTTCGACCAACAAACCAGTCTTTAAGTTCACCGGGCTGAATGAGGAAAGGGAACAGAGAAAGAAGGAAGATTAGTAGATTCGGGTGATTACATATCAAGATGCATGAAAATTCAAATCATGGATTTAGTTCTCATGCTCTCAAGAAATAAGAAGGGATCATGTGAGAGTGAAAACTTCTGAAGCACCAAGAGCTGAGTCACCCCTATTTCTTCCTAGAGCTCTGTGGGAACAAAACCAACCTCTGTTTCACTGAGGGTCTTGGAGGAGAGTAACATTTTCACAGTGGCAGATCTGGACTAAGGATGGGCAAAATTACCAGCAGCATCAGATTTTCCAGTGCCTACCCAGTTTGCGCCTGCTGAGTCTTCCCCTGAGATCTGGCTTTTCCCTATTGCCTCATGCCCATGGTCCTCAATTACAGACCTCATTTTAGTGAGCCTCAGAACAGCTTTAGATTTATTAGCCAGCCCCAAGGAACACTTGCATTTGTTTCAAAGTTCCTCTAAATGGCTTCAGGGTAAAGAAGGACCTCAATCTTTATTTACCCAAGACTTATTTTCACGGTGTTTGACAGATTAATTCACTTAAGTGGTAGCACTGAATGAAGATGCAATAAGAACTTTTGCAAAATCTTTTCTGTAACCTGATTCTCTAAAATAGGTCTGTATTAAGGAAATGCCTTCAGAGTGTATAGTCTTCCCTATTTTGTCTCCGTAGGTTTAGTCTGATTACTGATTTTAATCTTGGGGTATATTTGATCTACTATCACATTGTGTACAGGATCAAGATACTTCTAAATTAAAGTAACAGTGGAACTAAAGTAAATTGTATTATGAACCATATATAACTTGTAAGGTCACCATGTAAAAGCAAGTGTACTTTGACTAAGAAGTAAAAGTTTCAAGTAATATTATTACATAATCTCTATAGAAAGAGATATCACAGTGCAAAACACTGCACCAATTTGAGGACTTCTGCTTCATTGCCACTAGAGGGAGACATATGACTGAATATGGCTTAAAAGAGGTTTTAGGGGTTTTCGTAAAGACTTCCTGAGAATCAGTTTAATAAAAATCTTAATAAGGTTTTACTTATTTAATTGTAAATAAATAGTCAAATGAAAAGATTCAAAATTTCCATATTAATTTAAAAAATAAACAGACCTTGTAAAACAAGAAAATACTTGGGTTTGTTCAGAATATAATACACACCAGAAGCTGCATATAGCAGGGTCCTATTTGGCCTCTATTGCTAATTATGCATTAACACTTTACGTGCTTCTTGGCTGAGTTGTCATCCTAAAATACAGGGTAAACTATATGGACTAATAGCTTAATTAAAGTACCTCATGCCTGAAATTTAGAATCAAAGTTATTCATATTATAAAGATGGCTCACAAGTTTGCTTGTTTGGGGATCAAGCTCTGATGAAAGTGACTAATTCATGAAAGTGCATTTGCATGAGGATATTCTTAAAGGAAACATCAACTTTCCTTCTTCTACCACTTTTGAAACATCATGAATTACTAGAAGTTACTTGTTTAGGAAGCAGTTCAGTCACTGAACTTAGATGAAAGACTATGCATGAAACATAAACATCATTATATTTTAAAATATTATAAACTCACAAGAGAGTTAGTTATTTGTTTAAAAACTAAGCATAAAATCTTCCTTGTTAAACAGAACCAGTCTGTGGTACTATTAGGAAGTATTTCAGTTATGCTGCTACATTCACAAGAGTTCACTTATCTGTAAAACTGCTAGTTGAAGTGTCATTAAGATTCTAAGGTTGATATAGACATTGATAACTATTCTTATATAGGTAGCCTTACAAACCTGGGATGCTGCCTTCTCAAAGCCATCTGGGTTCAAAGATGGCATGATATGAATACGTGTGCTATGGATCAAGTTGATAATAGTTTCATTTCCTTTCTGGTATTCATTACACAAGTACTGAGCCAAGAAGATGAGCAACTCCCTTCCGACAGCCTCATTCCCATGCATATTCCCAACATATTTAAATTCCGGCTCTCCTGCAAGAAAAATAACATGTCTCAGAACAATATAAAAATCACCCATGCACTAGGCCACACAGCATTCCTGAGGTTGTGGGTATCACTATTACTACAACTGGTCAGTCTCCTCAGGAAGCTACAAGCCTCCTTCAGAAAAGTGGATTTAGATTTGGTTTGGTTTTTTTAAACTTTGCTTAAACAAACAGTAATTTATATTCAGTTTTTTGCCAAAGGCAGAGAAAGAACACCAGACGACAACACAGTATGCCAAAATAAATGCTAAGCACAGCCATTAGCACTACTACTGTTAAGATTTAATGCAATTGATACCGCAATACTACAAAAGAGTGTCTTGATTAGGTAGTTTTTAAATATATAAACTGACATTAGCACAGCTTCTTATCTTTAATGTTCTCTCCAAGATTAGGTTAAGCTTATCACACTATACATGCATTAAACTGCAATTCTTTTACTTAAAGCATTGCCAGTAAACAGCTGTTGATCCTAGTGACCTGAAAAATTTTATTCAGCAGTTGCTTTGGATATTCAGCTCAGACTTTATGAAGCAAGTGCAATAACCTAACTCATAAAATGAATCACTCCCATTTAACAGTCCAATAAACTGTCTATTATTAAATATATACATAAACATTTCACATATATTAATGAATGTATATATGGAATGATTACATGTATATTTGATGTTGAATCAATAGATATTGTATATTCATATATAATATTCAATGTATAATATGTATTCAATATATATTCTACATAAATTAATTATTTTTTTCAACACTTCAGATAGGTCTTATAGAGCTGTAAAGGATATACCTTTTAAAAGACTACATTTTGAACCCTAATTCCAGAGAGGTTTTAGTATAATGCAAATGAGATTAAAAAGATTGTCCTGGAACTAAAACAAAGAATATGGTGTTTTCTGGGTTTCAGCCCTTTTTCTTTAACCCTTTTTCTTTATAAATGCAGGTCTTCTGCTCTAACAGCTTTAATCAAACATTCTGCTGATTATATGCTCTGAATAGTCTTTGAGTACACTTTGCAATAGCCTTTAGCACTATCACAAATTCAAGCCAGGAAGTGTTACACAAACGAGACCTAAATAATTGCTAATCAAGCACACAGCCATATCTACTTACGACTCTTCAGTCTGTGCTTGTTAACCTTAATCCAGTGATAAGATGCTAGCAGACAGAGGGCTATTAATACTGTGACTTCTTTCCTTCCAGCTAAGGTGGTTTCATACATATGGATTCATCCCTGAATTTTTTTTTTCAGATAGGTTAAAAAGTTTTCTAGTCTCAGTGAAATAGCTTCATTTTATCAGATACACACAGCCCATTGCTGCGAATAAAAACCTCCGTTTCCTGTTTTGGCATTGAGATCCTATTTACTGTTTTTTCTCATCTGTTAATACCAGTGAATGCAAGAAGACTAATCATTAACACCATGCAATCAACCTGATCCCATTAAAACAGATGGATACTATTTAATAAAATATGCTGCACTGCACAACACATATTCTCATAATTAGAATACTCATGCATATGTATATTGGCATGTTACTTATGGGAAAAGTGCTTCACAAGCTAACAGGCAAATTTGTTATTGCAGTAAATATGAGCACAGTTGCATTTTGCATTTCTGGTTTTCCCTAGGACATCACTAAGGAAGCCTAAAGGAGAGATAATTTCTCCTGATTCCCAGCCCTGCGCATTAATAACGTGTCTTTATCTCCCACTTGAATTTACAGGCCTGGCTCAAATGAAGAAATAGAAACATATGTTTCCCATACAGTACTACTTGCCCCCCTCCCCAAAGAATCATTAACTGTTTACAAGGGTTCATGAAAACAGGCAGAGAGTCTACAGTGAACCAAGAGTATGGCCCCATCTACAGCATATCTTCAGGGGTAACGACCCATCTCAAATGAGCATTAAAAGCTACAATGAGTTCAGGAAGAGGTAGCATCATTGGAAATATAGAAAGTCTTTCCTATGAAAAGTGATTGAAGAAATCAGTCCCATTTTCCTTAAAAATAATAATAACGGACAGTCAAATATATCAGCCACTGTGGCACGGAGGAATCGATCTGGAAAGTAGCACCTTCCCT